TTATGTAATGTAAAATATATAACAATAAAGCACAGAGTTAGAGTGAATAGATCTGCCCTTATGTTTCTATATCAGGTGCAGATCTTATATTTGCACTAGAAACTAGACCAAAAATACTTGAGAGTATTTAGTGTTTTTGCAGCGTACGGGATGCCAGAGGAGCCGAACAGATAGTAAACTGTTGTGCTGAGAACAAACCCATCATGCTGTCATGTGACAGCCGGGCATGGCTGCTGATATCACCCCCAGCCTCTGGCCTGCACGCCCTCGCCCCAGACCCATCGATTTTATCGGGCGACACCAAAGCCAGCTCAGGCCAACGTCCAGCACCCCGCGACGCCCCGAGGGCGACGAGGGCCTCGTCAATGTCAGAAAACACTCCCAGATCAGCTCATAACGGCGAGACAGAAGCTGTGAGGGATTTACCCCCGTCCCTAACAGCTGCTGTTCTTCTACTTCCTACATTATAACTTAATCTGGTAAATGTATTGATTTTGTTTGGAGGAAGCAACTTGCTTTATTTAATATTTTGTTTCAGTCATCCTCTCGTGTCTTTGAGGTCACCTGGTCATGTGTTGCCATGGAGCAGCGCTGACAAGGACCTGCTGTCCAATCAGCCTCACTGGGAAAATCCATAGTTTGAGCAGGAGGGGCATGTTTTTGGATTTTGTTTGGGCCCAGATTGGTTTGGTTTTAGTTGTGTATAATAAGCTAAACCAAACATAAGATAGAGAAAAACTTCACACAGGAAAGGCTTTTCTAAACTAGTTTGAATGATACGTATGCATATGGTTTGAATGCATATGTGAATGGCAAGCGGACCGGAGAGCGCTCCAAAAGCAGGAAGCAGACTATAGCGCAGGGGATTCTGGGTAAATGCAAGAGAAATAGCTTAGTCTTTTACCACAAGAGAAATTCTACAACCGATGAAATCTGACGCCACTCCACTTCTGTTTACTTGTCATGAAGAAGGAAGCTGCGATCACATCGTATTCGTGTCATTTCCTTCGGTGGGTCTTGGTGGAGCGCCACCGTTGGTGAGGAGGGGAACAGGTTTGTCAAATGGTTTGGTTTACTTTCACACTGCAAGCTGAAAATGTAACAAAAGTTGTAATTTTCCTCCCAAATGGAACCAAATCTACCGGATTATCAGGTGTGAAAACAGCTTGAAGCCACTTTGCTAATAAATTGTCAGTTGTTAAAGACTCATTTGTTTCCATGTTTTAACCATGTCAACATTTCTTTTCTGGAGGATTTCCATAAATTAATGGAACAAATTATTGTATTCATATAATTTTTGGCTCTTCTGAATTTCATCAAGCAGTTCTCTTTTTTCAAAACCTGATGAGGGGAAAATTAAATCCAATTAAATTTCAGATTTAAGCCAATCAGTCCTACTTGGCCTCACCTGGCCTCTGCGTCTCGTAGAAGTCGTGTTTTGCGGTTATAGTATTAGCGTGTTGCATAACTGGGCGTTTTCTTCCCTCTTTCATCTCCTCTCAGCTGCTTAGCGCCTAGTTGAGCAGCGGATGATGGAAGCTCCAACACGGCATGATCTAAAAACCCACTGGCGCTTCAGCGTGCCTCAGCTGGCTTATATAACCCAGCCTGGATATGCAAACTGCCTGGCTGCTGGGGGGAGCGGAGTGCACACACACACACACACACACGCACACACACACACACACACACACACACACACACACACACACACACACACATCCAGCTCATCAACGTTTGAGTGTTTAGGAGAATAAAGTCAGGATTTGTGTGTGTTTTTATTTTTTCTGCTTGGCAACCGTGTCGTCTCTCCTCCTCGCCACGCTTCGTGATGACATCAGCACAATTTTTGGGCCAGCGAGTTCCTCTGTGATGTCATTTCCGGCGGGTCTTCACCTGAAGTGACTTTTTTGTTGTTGCGTAACTCGACCAATTTTTCAACCAGTCTCTTTTTTTCTCACTATGGACACAGCAGGTGGGCCAAACAATTTAAATGATTAGTTTGTAATTTAATACTCAAATTTCTTATTGAGAAAAAAATCTTTTAAGTTTAATCTTGGAAGATGGCTGTAAAAATATTAATGAACGTTATGATTTTGTCTCACATAAAATATAATATAGTATTTTATAAATATTAAGGTAAGTATTTTTCACTCTAGTAAGTGCAAATATATTAGTTCACTTGAAATTAAAACAAAACTGACTTTTAAGCAATTTTCCTGCAAAATAGTTTAAATAAATTAAACTATTTTGTTCCTCCAGCAGATTCCTTCACTAATGAAAACACATTTTCTCGTTACAATGTGAAATTATTTGCCATCGTTTTCTTTAAGGAAACGTCTCACAACTATAAAATACCAGACAGCGTAAGAACAGATGAATCTTTTAAATAATTATTCTAACATTTTCTAAACCATGTTTAGTTTGCTTTAATCCAACTCTTGTTCATTTGTCTAGAAAGTTTGGTTCCTTCAGGATTCTGAATATAATCAAATAAAAAAGCAAATTCTGGTCCACCTACAAACTTCAGCCTCGGTTCAGTTGAAATGAACTCTGGTGCCGTTCAAATGCATATGTGAATGCCAAGTGGACCAGCAACCACTACCAAAATCCGGAAGCACATTATAGCACAAGGCATTCTGGGTAAATACAACCAAAACAAACGTGAGTGCAGCGCTAGCGGGACATTAAAGACAAATTGCTTTTTCAAAGACAAAAAATAAATCCTATCACCACTAAAATCTGAAGCTTCTCTGTTTTTGTTTACATTTTGTGATGATAGAAGCTGCACTCAATGTTTTCTTCTGAGGTTTACTGGCGTTTCCTGCAGTGGTTTTTGTTGCAGCGCCCCCACAGGCGAGGAGGGTTTTAAGTTGGTTTTGTGGGTTTGACTGAGAGCAGTGAGGAAGAGAACCACAGCAGCTGGAAATGTTACAAATGTTGTCATTTTGATCCCAAACTGAACCGAGTCCATCAGGTGTTAAAACACCCAGAAAATTAAATTATTGCCCCTAGAAAATAAAATTATTCTTTTGTCCTTTGTTTCTGGAGCTGAACTTTTGTGCTTTATGGCTTTTTGGTCTTTAAATTTGTGACTTGATATGATGGTTTCAGATAAAAAAGACGTTTATCATTATTTTCTTTTTGTGGAAGAAGCGTGTTAATTTGTCTGTATTTATGTTCATATTGACAACAGATGGGTAGGTAGGTAACTCTGGCATATTAAATGCATCGTCCCTTTTGAAATTCATGAACAACAGTAACAAATTTGCATCCGCCTCCTGTGACCCCATCGTGCACCGAGCAAAGGAAAAAAATATCGAGATCTTCAGAAGTGTAACGCTATGAATCACCATGACTGTAAGTGCAACGCAATAGCAGGAGCGTGAAGAGATGCAGAGAAAGAGGGCGATCAAGAGAGGCCTGACCCATATAAGAACGAGGCTGAAATATTTATGGATGTGAGTGTCCTAATTGGCAGGCCACTGGGAGGAGCGCGGCAAGGAGGTTAACTAACGTACGCTCACAGAACGCGGCGGATCATCCCCGCCCTGATGGACGCCTCATTACGACTCCCGCCGTCGCGGCTGCGGCTCAGTTAGAGCCATTACCAGAGCCGTTGTCATAACCCCTCTCCATCGCACAGACGGACTGGAACAAGCGCTCAGAGCGCTGAGTCAAACGCAGCCTAATTGGCCGGGTTTGTCTCCGGGGCTGGCACGAACGGCGCGGCACGGCGCGGTGCGGTGCGGTGCGGCGCGGCGCGGCGAGAGGCCGCCTCGGCTGAAGATCAGAGCGACGCTTTCCGATCACTGAGAGGAAAACCTGAAGGGACCCCAAACGTCCCCGTGTCTGCAGAGGGAGGCTGAGGGCGAATACTACAAAATAAAACATTAATGACGAGAATTAAGTGTGTTCAATATGAAGACAGGAGTTGGGCACTGACTATTTACACTTCAGTAACTTTTTTGAAATACTTGAATTTGTTTTTACTATGCATTACATTTTATTATGAAGTATATTTTTACTCTTATTTGAGTAAAATTTCTGGATTTTCTCCCCACTGAATAAAAAACAAACATGTTTTCACCAAAAATCCTCCACACACACACACATCCAATTCTTGTTAGTTTCATAAGTTTTTTATTGAAAGAAACTGATTTTATTATTTTATGCTACTTATATGAATTATTGAGAGTTTAGTTCTTAAAGTACCAACATTTCCAACAAACTTTATACTGTGGCCCATCTGATGATGTAATTTTTGAATATTAAGTGATTGATAATTTGATCAGTTACTTTGTACTTTAGTAGATGTTTTATTAAATCATTTTTTACTCTTACTTGAGAACAGTCTTTACTCTGATTATGACTTTATTCTTACAATAAATACTTTGTTGTTTTAGGGCCACACTGGGAAAATGAAAGCCTTTAAACTACAAGAAAAAAGTTTTAATAATAAAAAATCTGTAATACCACCAGAATAATTCCCAAATATTGGTGGGAGATTACTTCACTTATTATATGAGAGAAATGTCTTTTAATCTGCAAATGAAACTAAAACTTTTCCATCAATAAGGAATTACTGACTTAAAAAAAGCTTTGATAACTTCCTGAAAGTGAGTTTTGTCTTATTTCAAATGCAGTCAGACATTTTTTATAAAACATTTGGTGAGATGTTGTGTTTTTGCAGTGTGCAGCTCTTCCTGCACACTGCAGGAAGAGCTGCATAACAGCAGCTCTTCCTGAGCTGCTGAGATGTTTAGGACTTGTAATCAAACGACTCCGACAAGCATGTCTGTCTTGCTTGCACAAAGGGGATGGGAGCAGAAATCGATGTGCTGTGTTTACAGGCTGCACAGCTGACTGTAACACTGCACGTTGTGTTACACACAGCAGAAACAGACGGGCTGCTTCTGGCTCGACCCGGTCCGGCCGGCACCGCTGAGCAGAGGACCAACATGGAGCGGGACGCAGGCGGAGGATTGTGTGATACTCACGTAAGAAGTACTCTGATGGATCCGCTTCGTAATCCGTTTCCTCGGGAAAATGGTCTATCTGTTTACACATTCCTTTGAAGTTTCCTGCAGGGAAAAAACACAGAAAGTTGGAGAGAGTTAACCCACAGTCTCCTTAAAAGTTAGACAAAGAACAGCAAGAAAGAGGCTGATTATAAATAAAAAATCATTTTCATTAGGAGTATAAACTAATTTAATCGCTTAATTACACTTTTGATTTTTAGGATATTTAATTTTGGGAAATATTTAATTCTTTTGGACTCTGAATTTAGGTCAACTGTACAACAAAAATATATGTAATATTTTTATTACAAGAATAAAGTTCATATTATAACCAAAATAAAGTCATAAGTTTATGAAAACTCCAACAGGAGTTTCTTGTGAAGCTATGCTAAGTTTTACAGATAAGGCTAAATACTTTAGAGGAATACTAAATACCTTTTAGCACATCTGCATGAAGTTGTGATCAGTACCAGGATTTTTAAACTATCATGCAAACAATCGAGACTATTTGGCCAAATCCTGCATCTGAGCTCTTTTCCTCATTAAAACAACTTTTCTTTCTGCGAATATGTTCTCGCAATTAAACAAAAATTCCGAAGGAAGAGAAAGTTATGTGATTATTTTTATATATTAGCAACATAAATGACATATGCCAAAGAATATTTAGTTATTTGTTAGATTTTGATGTTGAATGACACAGAATTACAATTTAAAGCCAGAATTCTGAGATGAAAATTAAAATTATGAGAAAACAGAATTTTGAGAAGAAAAAAAAACCCAAACAGAATTCTGACATCAAAGTCAGAATTATCAGAAAAAGTCAAAATTCTGAGATTAGAATTTAATTATTTTTGTTTGTTTATCTTTTTTTGGTCCTAATCTTCTTCCATTAAAGAAGATTAGCCAATATCCAGCAGAAAAACATCAGAAGGAGGAATTAATTTGGTTTTAATTTTCTATGTTTGTTTCCCTTAAACAGATTACCGTTGGTTCTGGCTGCTTCCTTCTGGCTTACAGGTGGATTTAATCTGATCATTTAAGTAATATCAGGTAGTGGCCAGCCCGGATCGCGTCAAAGCAGCGAATATCAGAGGCTCTGTTTGAAGGCCTGCAGCAGTTGGCGGCTTGTAAACAAGAGCGGAGCAGCTGCTGCGACCTGGAGCCGCCCCAGCTGCTGCGCAGCGGCAACTTTCCCCGATGTGAGGCAGTTTCACACTGATGAGGTCACTCCAGGTGGGGTCGGCAGGGAGAGGCTTCCGTAAGGCGGCCATTACGGTGACCTGGGTCTTCAATGGCGGCGAGCGGCAGGCCGGTGGGGAGGAATGTGACGGGACCAGATGAGAGTTTCATTAACATTTTCATCTCCTCTCCCACCGGTGTAATTAGGGGAGCAGGTGTTGGTTGCATTGGTGCCAGGTGTAGCAGGGCAGGTTATGGCAGCGGGGTGTGATGGACACAGCGGGCTGAGCTTTTCACTTTGTGAACAATCAAGAGGTGGGTTGAGTCGCTAAAAGTTGTACTAAAGCACTACTTCAATATTTTTTTAACTTATTTACTGAGGAACTGATGGAACATCAATCATTAGTATTTAAACATTTCTGCCAACAGAATCAACAGAACAAGATTTGGTTTGATCAGGACATTTTTGACACGTTTCTCCTCCTATAAATGTGCTGATATAGCTAACTCTTTGTTAGCATCTTTTCTCATGAAAACATTTCTGATGTTCTCGTTCTTATGCTAAAGCTAAACATGGCTGAAAAAACTTTTCACAATATCTGAATGTTTTTACATTTATTTTGAATATGCAAACAATACCTGGGCTTCCTATGTGTTGCATAATATTATAGATATGATGACAAATTAAATTTAAGGAAGCAGAATAACGACAGCAGATATTAGCATTTAATTTTAGTCAATATTGATAATCTATCGATAATTTATTTTTTTTGTTTTAAATATCTTCCATCCAAGTGGTATGACTTTTATCTACAGTTTTCACGACACTGTTATGAAACCTGAAACTTCTGCTGTAAGCTAACATGTTGTTGCCACCAACTTTTTTCAGCTAGCACTGAGTGGTTCAACAGCTAAAGTTTTCCTCTGCCTACATAATATTTAGTATCATTTATCTTCTGATATTGATCACATATCCATCACAACATTGTTATTTATTTATTGTCCAGTCTTAAATATACCAAGTTTACAAATTGTCACCAGATTTGTGACTGACTGGCAACCAATTAATTATGCAACCTTGTTTTTCTTCGACGTCCGAACAAGCGTGGGAACCTCTGTGCTAATATTCCCACTAATCCCTCTTAGTCCCAATCCATCGTTCTGAAACACGTATTTTTTTTCCTGCTGACGCAGCATTGGCAGATAATCAAAAAAACATCGATTTCCTTCAACAGGTTTCTGTAGCAATTAGAACAAGCATGTGGGTTAAAAAAGAGGAGAATTTCACGGAGTATGGAACGGAGAGATAATAGCAGGAAGAGCAGGTAACAGAAAGGCTTTGAAGGACAGGGAGCAGAAAGACGGGGAGGAGGTGGAATACATCAGTTTTAAGTGGTACAGTAACTGCTGAGCCGTGAAAAAGCCCTCTGGAGTTCAACAGAGCTGCACACTTTTTGAACTCGATGCTCCGATCAAAGTTCCTTCACACTGGAGATTAGAGTCGGGTTCTCCGTAATCAGCAGGAAGGTGAACGCTGAATCTTACCGAAAATAAAAGGCACATAATCCACTAAAGCTTTGTTCACACACCGCTGAAGGTGTCGACCCGCCGCCTACCTGAAATAACAATGCGTTTGTTTGAATCCGGGTTGCCAGATCTGACTGTTTCCAACCCAAACGTAAAAAAACTCCCACCAACCCAAATCTCAGCCTCCGATAAAACTAATAACTAAATAATTTCTGAGTACTCCTACTTTATTTTTGTTGGTTGCTTTGTGCTGTGCTTGCCTACCAAGATGGCGGTTCAGTGGCGTGGATCATGGCTCAAACCTATGAGAACTATAAATAACGCATTTTCTGCCAACTATTTCCAAAGAATTTTCCTCTGAACTCTTTCTAAAAACTTGTCAAATGTTGTAAACAGCAGCCCAAATTTAAACAACTCGTCCAAAGTTGTTTATTCAACCCGATGTGTTTAGAAACAGCAACACTGAAAGAAGAAAAGTGCACACCTCCAGTTCCTCTCTGAGCGTATTTCAGGAAGATGACTTGTGTTTACATTCGGCTGCATGACTTTGTCCCGGTGGAGCTGTCTGGACTAACTAGCAGCAGCAGAGGCACCGTGTGTGTCCTAATAACGTTATGAAGTGGATTCAGGATTTGGTTTGCAGCTGTTGGGAGGGGAAGGACTTTAATTAACGTGTTGAAAAGATTTATATGACAGGAACCGCTGTAAATGTACTGCGTCTTGTAATTCATGTCAACACAGCAGGCTGCTAACATAAAGGCATCTCCAGCCAACATCATGAATGTCAACGCAGGGATGCAGAAAACCCACTGGGTATTTTTGGTAACATTTTGTTTGTGCACAAGATTGACATGACCTGTCATAAACATAACGCCTGTTATAAACATGACTGTTGTGACTGTTGTCATGAAGTGTAATTCAGTAAATAATGATCCTTTTAATGCAAAGTTTCATTATAAGGGTCATTATTTACTGAATTATACTTTATGACAGTCATAAACACTCATAAAATCTCCTTCATGCTGCTACATCTTGATGAACAGTTAGTTTGTTTTGTCTTATTTCAGGTGTATTTATAAGTCAGAAACCAGCTGACTTTTTAACCAGACAAGTTATTTGTGCTACAAATGGCTTTCTGTACTTAAATAACGTGCTGTGAGGTTTGTGAACGTCCTTTATTTTCCAAGCAGGTGATTATAAACGACTTTGCAGGCGGATCTTCCTGGTGCTGCTCCCACAGACCGATGCACCTCCATGTAGCTGTAAGGAGCTACATGCTAGCCTCCTGCTTCCCCTCCTGCCCTCTGCAGCCACAAAGCTCTTCACTCCCACCGCCCTGCAGAGACTGAGGGCCTCTCAAGAGTGGAGTGCAGCAAAGAGAGAGGAGGCTTGTTGTGGCAAGGAGACAGAGGGCGTGTGTGTTGAAGATTTATAGTCGCACAACACAGCAAGGCTCTGGACCGAGTCCTGAGGGACCGGGGTTTATCCGGTCAGCTCGTTTACAGGCACAAACACAAACCGTGCAGATCGACTGTTCACGGCGCCGTGACGTAGCCGTGATGCTCTTTGTTCACGCTGCTGAGAAAAAGGAGTCTTTCCCCAGGCTGCGTTCACATGGAGGTGCAGAGTTCTGGTCCAGCTCAGATGAACACGACTGCAGACGCGGATCCTGGCTTCCAGTTACTAAGACCATCAATGCCTCTCCTGCAGTCCTACTGGGGAAAGAAGGATTATCTGGAATGTGGCTCTTCAGTTCCTGTCACATATATTAGGGCTGGACTGATTTTCTTTATTTTGCGAGATGTTAAACAAATCTTATCTACTGATTTGCTCTTCCGCCACAAAAGTCTCGGAATAGATAGGCTGGCGTTTCAGTTGTGCAGAAACCTTCATCCATGACCAGTAGCAAAAAGTTACGTTTAATGTCATACAAAAACTTAAATATTTCTAAATGATCACCACAAAATCTGTGATCTTGATTATCACAAAAACAGTCACAAAATCCTGCTTTGTGACGTGAAATCATTATTTAACTTTAAGAACTACTTGCTGAATGCAGACACAGGATTTATTCATTTATCAATACATTCAGAATCTTTCTTTAAGAAGATTCAAAACCTTTAATTTGCCCAAAATTAAAATGAGTTTGACGCCACGGCCTTAAAGTACCTTCTTTAAAAAAAATAATGAAATAAATTAATCTCAAATGAATTATGCAGCATTTAATTTGAACTCTGAAGTTACAATTCGGAATTGGAAAGTTAAGAAATTCTCATTAACCAACATAAATGCTTCACATCATCAGGAAGATAAACTGAGTCAGTCCAAAAAACAGAAAGTTTTCAAATGACGATTTG